TTTAAATAAAATTAGTATGATGTCAAAATCCTTCTTCCTAGATTTGCACTCAAGCTCGCTAATGAGATGTGCTTCGGTCGCGCGAGACCTGCCTTCGACTCCCGGATTTTGGAAGTAGGTTAAATTCTGATAAAACACTTGGAAAGCAAGTAAATATTTAATTAAATGAAATACGGTAGTTTTACATATAATTCGAGAAGATTGAGATTCAAAAGAAAATAAAAGTGAAGGACGTTCGGGGTGCCTCACCGTCACAGGAAAGCGACCCTGAATGTGGGTAAATTGGAGCTCACGCTTGGGTCTACAAGCCAGAATCTCCTCTATCTTACTTGCACCCACCCCCCGCCATATTTTTACCCGCATTGAACGCACTAACCTATGCTGATTTTAGCAAACACGCTTAACTTCGTTATCCAGAGCTAGCGAATCGATCGCAACATCAGTCAAGCAGAATGCATTCTTCGTCTCCGATACCTGACAAGGGAAGTCTTCATGCAACAACACTGAATCCAGGGGTTTATCCAGGAAAGCAAGCCAACCAGCTCGCTTGGCTGTTGGGGATTCTTTTATTATTCTTTCAATTTTCCTCAGAATTTCAAGCAGATTCTGTGGATTTGCATATTTGACAGGCATTCTCCTGACTGTCAGCTTTCGGTACTGTCTGATGGACAATTTCTAAAAATAAAGTGAACTCCCGATACATTTGAGACGGCATTTGAAAGTTTCGCCGAAACTGGGACATATGAATTCATTATACTGTGCCCCGAAATCAATGAATGACTTACTTATTTGTTTTACAGTACTTGCCTTTGACAGTTTACAATGCTAAATTTTACATCCAAGATCAGAACATCGATTCAAATATGCAGGGATTAGTTTTATGATATGATGGAAGAATCACGGAACAAAAATTGGACGGCATCTAATTATTTTTTGCGAAAAGGAAATCATCCACTCATAGAAACCAGAAAATACAAGCAGTGCCCTGTTTGAGTTTTCAGGAAGGGTGTGTTTATAAACTCAAGTATGCTGAGGTCATGCATTAATCAAGAAAGTCTCAGGCATCACTTTTCCGTTAGAAATAAATCAATCGCCTGCATAATCGATCAGACGGCTCATTCCATGAGACTCGAATGTTCGCTTGCAAGATCGACAGTCATGTCGCACGCCCTATGATTTCAATTCATTACCACCGGGAAATTATGCTGAACATATCCTGAAATCAAGTGATTTGTGTTCATGATAAGAAGGATCACCGATCGTAGGTTCCACTAGGAAATTGAACGGCGTAACAGAGCGTAAGGTCCAGTAATGTGCAATGGAACGCAAACTCCTTCCGCAACGAGTTTAGAATTTGCCAGCATAGAAAAGAAGTCACGGAGAGCTGGCGGAGTTGACTTGAAATTAGCCTATCGGATACGATTACTGCAGAATTCATGGCATTGCTCTTTTCTAAGAAACATGCCATCGTTGCGATAAAAACATGGAAAATTTCTACTGGGGGGTAGAATTGGAAAATTTCTACTGCGGGGCAGCATTTCCATGCATGTAGAGAGGCTTCTGAAACGGCGAGCGAAAAAACGGCCTATACAATATTTGACACTCTGTCAAAGCACAAGCGTTACTCCTCATTTAAAGTGAAGACGAATATCTCGGTGAAGGTTCACAGTTTAGTGAGCTATACCGGGCTGTTTGGCTACTTTGTCTCTTCAATGAACGAAAAACTGTGTCTCAAAGGAAACCTTGTCAATTACGCGGAGAAGCAAGCTAAATGGAGCATCACGAAAAAAGTCATTCCTCAAAACGGCGGAGAGGCGACGAATAAAAATCTCCAGAGCTTCTGACGAATAACCAGGAAGGTGGCACCAACCTGGTCGGAAAATGGCGACTCATCGTCTAGCGTATGGTCTTTTGTCTGGGAACCACTGATTGCTGGTATCATTGGTTCCACGTCGGGCTCCGGGGGCGGCGCTGGGGCTCGTTGCGGATTCGCCGAAACGTTCTCAATGATCATTGGCTTCGGCTTTCTTTTTGCCAAAAGTGACTTTCTCGCTCGCTTTCTAAGCGCCTGAGGAAAGAAAACAAATGACGGACATCTTGAATGACACTTCATTGACGAATATCGAAAAGAGACGCGAAGACAAATGAGCTGAAAAGAGAACTGAGATGCAGGGACATCTGAGCGCCACCCGAATGGTTCGGATCGCATTTTCATCAGAAAAATGCTAGAGGCAAGCATCTGCTTTCATGCCATTTCACCGCTGAAAATTCTTGATGTGAATGCAATAATTGTCATTCATGCTTTGCTTCAAAGACATCCGAAATAGCATCGGTTTAATGTTGAATTGCCTCCCAAAAACACCAGAATATTGTATCGGAGCTTAATGCAGTGAAATGATGGAATTTTCCTTTCAAATGCCTCAAAAGTTTCAGTTTTCTGTGTTGCTCAGCTCGAAAGTTACGGTTGACAAGCCAAGCAATGGGCTGTGGAAATATTTGACATTCGTTTTTTGAAATAGTGTGCATTTAGGTTTCGATACCTCCTGCCCAAGTGTCGATTCACTGGGCGTAAAAAGTAGCCTTTGAAATTTTATTTTGCACCGCTGTACTTCCGTCTCTTCCACAAATTTCCTAGGTTAATATGCCTATATTGGAAGAAATTTACCGTGGTCGACTTAATTCTGGAACCAAATATGAAAAGGACCCTTTTTTTCGAAAATGTACACTTGTACAGTATTCGATTATACGTGATCTTGCAATGTCGGAGCACAGGCACCAGGTCATTGGCTTGATATTCGGAGCTCATTTGTGCAGTGAAAAATCGCGAACAATTCTAGAAACAGTACACTCCCAAATTTAATTTTTTTCCATTCCAGGTAATTCACTTCATCCAGGCAAAATCAAAATTGCTACGTAAAACAATGGAGAGTAGTATATATTTGCAAGCACAAGAAGTGTGCCTTTTTTCAGAATCATGGATAAGTAACAATGTTCTAGATTAATGCGATTTTCTGTGAACTCAGACGATGCATTCGAAACAAAAGGCTTTTAAATTACAGTATTTCCGAATTCCCCGCCAGGGACTATTATGTTCATTGCTAGCAAAAGTTTCCTCCTGCAATTTTCTTCCAAGCTCAATTATCCCGGCAGGTCATTTTTCTTTCTTCGCACACTTTTTTTTTGTATTTTACGACCCCGGTTGGAACGAACGCAGTTAATGGCTCCCTGTGGAGCGTGGACCAGTAACTACGAATGCCCAAAGCGTCACAAATTTCCTGGTCGTGTTCAGCGTCATCAATGCGAACCCGAATGCATACTTAATGTAAGCTTCAGAAAAAAAAAACCGAAAGAAACCTGTTCTATGCTGTAACTCAAATAAATATATTTTATCCCATGCACTGCATGTGGATGACGTTGGTTCTCATGGCCTACGCGTGGGATTTGATGCGGACCACTCAAAATGCCACAGATATTAAATTTATCAGCGCATATAATTTTTCATACGCTCAGAATCTGTTGTCAGCATCTTGAATTCTCGAATAGCAGCGACCATTACCATGGGTAATTAAACCACTTTGAGAACTGCGCACTGAACTCCAACTTTCGAGGCTCATTCAAGTCATGTTTTCGGCATTCGGTATTTCTGACGTATGCAATAGGACGAATGACGTCATGCTTTCAGCTCTTTGGGATAAAGGCGTTTATACTTGTGGTCGCAAATGTTCGGTTCGATCAGACATACTGTACTACCCGTACAGACGTGCATACCACATAAATGCGAGTAATGAGAAACGTTTTATCTACATGCGTATAAATCCTGTAGTTGAGCCGCAATTATCAAAACGGATAATGCTTTGATTAACCGAACGCGTTGCATAAAAATTTTTGAATTCAAAGAACACCAGAGGACCGACAACTGGCAATTTAAATTGCAGTTTAACTCCTTCATTTCCGTCAGACTGAAAAGCATATTTTGAGGGCATCCATCTGGAATTCAGATAAAAGCGGAGCATGCATTCGAGAGTTAAGATACAAAAAGAGATTAAATTAAGATATCACGAGAAACAAGAGAAGCAAATTGTGTGATTAAATAAGGACGATCTGTGAACATTTTAGCGTAGGATATCTGCTGGAATGTCGGTAACATCACGTCAGATCCTCGTTGCATAATTTTTTGCTTCCTCCTGTAATTTCATTTTTTTAAATGAAAATAAAAGTAAATTCCCTAAAATCCTAATGCGTTATCCTGGATAATTATTCAATTGGGAAAATGAAGCGGCTCATGTTCAAATTAAGAGGCATGCATGCCGCCTTTTTCATCCCAAAGCATCTGTCTAGATTTTTGTAGAGTTAGTCGGATGCCCGCTTAATCGGATCTCATATAGTAGTATAGTCCCACTGCATTTGATTAACCGAGCGAATGCACCTGGTCATTCGCCCAACACGTTCGAGGTTATACAGTGAAATCTCGTTGCAATCGTTACAACGCATGTTTTCAGTATAACAAACTTTTTCTCAAATCCCGACATCTCGAAATAATCTCGGTATAACAACCTTCCCAATTCCAGTAAAATGAACTTTTTTGAGAAATGTCCGATAGATTCTCTACGTAGAAATTTTCTGACTAAGACTGACGAAATTCTGAAATTTCTGATCCCAAATGTGACTAACTGGGTGTTTTAGCATGGATGGAGGCTGTAATCAATGACACGCATGCTTCCAAAATGGTAAAATAGATCATTCTCTCAGAGTAAAGAGATTTTTCCAAGTGATGGAATGCATTATTGGACCTAATTTTCTTTAAAAATCCCTCAGTTTTTCAAACAATAATTTAAAAGCTGAAAACATCAGAATAGCAAGATCTAATTGATTATAGGCAGATCTGATGGGAAAATGTTTCCCTCTCATAAATTTTGAAAGTCTCATTACAAAAAATATCAGTATAACACAATTTTGCTGAAGTCCCCAAAAGGTTGGTTGTAACGAGATTTTACCGCGCATCATTGCTCAAAACATCTTTGAGGTGGAGAGGAAACGCTCACTTTAAAGATTCTGAAGTATAGCACGACCATGATGATGCACGGGATGTAGAAGGAGGAGAGCGAGGAGTAGATGATGAAGTCGGAGTTGAAGAAGGCGCAGATGCTGTGGTCCCGGTCCGGCGTGTTGTTAAGCCCGGTCACGATCGGAATCCCGATGGCCGCTGAAATCGCCCAAACTAGCACGATCGTCAGAGCGACCCTGCTGTTGTTCTTGTGCTTAGCATACTTTATCGGCCTCGTCACTGCGATGTACCTGCGCATCGGACACGATTCATCACATTTTCCGTCCCCCGACGGGGTCCGATATTGAAATGCCCTTGCCCCGCATGGCACCATCGCGTCCCCAGCAAGAATATTAGAAGAAAAAGGAAAAAGAAGACAAACACCGGTGCTCCGGTTATGAAATTTTTGCTCGCACGTCCATCCCGCATTCCATCCGCTAATCGTCTTCTCTATTCGCCTGAGGGGCGCTTCAAAAGTGCGAAACTCTGCATACACGAGGGTTCTAACAAAAGTTCTAGGAATAGAAATTAAAATGGCATATAATTGAGCTGAAACAAATTATTCTTCAGCGAAAAAATATTCGTTGGCACACAAAAATCAGCCCTGTTTGACAAATTTCTGGAATGTTTTGCAAAATTCACAGTGGCAGAGCTTTGCTCTGCACTCAAAAGATGAGGCGCCCTTCCTGCAGTTTTTTGTTGTTGTAGCCCATCTTTCCCCTCAGAATTCTTGAAATCAACGTGCTGGCTTCAATTCCAAGGGTTGCCTCCAGGTCTTCCAAGGTAAATCCGCCATTTTCATCAACAGCCACCTTCACAGCCGCCACGCGGCTCTTGGTTCACGGGGCTCTTGATTAAAATGGCGGAATTACCTTGGAAGACCTATAGGCAAAAACTGTAGAGCAAAGCTCTGCCAGGGTGAATTTTGCAAAACGCTCAAAAAATTGTGTCAAACAGGGCTGATTTTTTTCTTGTGCCGATAAATATTTTTTCCCTTGAAATATTTTTTTTCAGCTCAATTAGATGCCATTTTCATTTCTATTCCGAGAACTTTTGTTCGAACCCCTTGAGATCCTCTGCACTTTTGACCGTTTCGCAAACAGTATTTCGAGAGGAAATCAAGAAAAAACCGGCACATTCTGTCAAGAATGATCGTAATGACCAGCGAGTTCTTGAAAGGATCGGTCTTCGAGTTAAATTTAGGTATTGCATGACGTTCAACATCTGACAGCGACTTACAGCCTCAGGCGAAGATTGCATTTTTGTGTCTGAAATGCATTATCTTTTTAAAAAATTAATCGGTCGAAAATCTACTTGAAATTCCTTCCCGGAATATTTAGTTCAGATTATATCGCAATTTGACGTATTCGACGAGATTAATGTAGTAACAGAAGCATTAGTAATAAATTCAACAGAATCCTTCAAGAAAACGATGAAAGAGCGTATTGCATTTTCAGGGCAAATCAATTGACATTTCGAGCCAGAATAAGTACTTTGATGTCGACTAATATTTGAGCAGATGCTGGGCCAATTAGTAATGGAAACTACCGTAATGTGTATCTTACCGATCGATGCTGATGGCGACGAGGTTGAGGATGGAAGAGGTACTACATGTCACATCCATGGCAATGTAAAGATCACAGAGAAAGTCATCCAAATCCCAGGCCTGGTGGTTCACCTGCGGACGAGTCATGGGTATCAGTCGCCTCGAAACACTCAAGCAGATGGGAAGTACTCGTCAGGGCGGGAGCCGTCCCCTGGGATCCCACGCCAGCTGCAACCGGTGATCAGGCGTCATTCCGCGCAGTAAATCTTTGATTAGTTTATCCTCGATCTTCTGCCCATGGGAAGCATTCAATCCTTTCTCGAGATGAGACAGATGATCGACTCCTCACCGCGAGTATCACTTTCCAGCGCGAATCGCCGATCAATAATTTTTCTTTCGGGCTCCATTTTTTTCACGAGTTCCGAATCGGAACTCTCTCGTTCTTTTCGGGTTCCTTTTCTATATACTCTCGGGACACGCAATGCATCATTGCGATCCACACAGACAAACGTTTTTCCATAAATCACCCCGCGATGGTTTCGCCTGAGAACTTTTTGCGCCTTTTTTGTGTCCCCGCGTTATCATGCCCGCCTCGCCTGCGTTCTGCTTCATTAAAACCGTCTATCTTCTCATTTTCGTTCCGGCGTCAATTCAGCGTAGTGGAAAATGCGACTCTGTCGTATTAAAACTTGGCACAGCCACCTCCGTTTTAGCTCCAGAAGGCAACGGCATCACGTCATTGAAGGAAAAATTGCCTGTACTCTGGCTTTATTAAATTTCACACCCACGCACGGTGGAACCTTCTAGGTGGAGTTTAAAATTAGTAATTCGCGATCACCTTGGGTGAATTGAAAACGGAAATATTGAAGACGTGCGGCGTACCGTCAATGAACATAAATAGAGAAAGAGCTGTTTCGTAAACTCCGGTGAGTCTCGCCGCTACGTGAAAATAAATCCAATTCCTCGACTGATATTACTTATCAAAATTTAGTCATCTAATTAAAAACTCATACGATAATAACTTCAGAGAAAGGCTAAAGAATTCATTCATAAACTGGCAATATGCGAAATACTAAAATTACATTCTGAGTGAAAAAGGTGTGTCTTCCGATGTTCGGAGTTCGGGCATTAGGGCGACACCAATTGTTTTTCCTATACGTAAAGGTCAGATTCCTCGACTGTTCTTTATATGATTCGTCGAAGTTTTTATTTTATTTTTTCCTTCAGCTCAGTACCTGACAAGTTCTTCGATGACTTTTTCCTCTGACACTGTCAGAAAAATAGGAACTCTTGAAGAAGGTTGTGACCGAATGTATTCGTCTACTGCGTCAGCTCTTGAGCTGTCGTAAGTTTTTCAAAAAATCAAAGGATTTTCTATAAATTCAAAACGACAACTTCTTGTAACTCACACAGCAGAAGAATCCCCCATTCCTTCAAACTATCAAATATATGTCAAATATTGAGATAAAACAGATTCTAAAACTCAACTACAAGGTATAAATAGATACAAAGTGAACAGAAAAAAACTAAAACTCCGGAAGAATTCCACATTCGAGGTTTCATGAGAATCCATCTTTAGAATATATTGGGAACTCGAAAAAAGGGATCATTCCTCCCGCAATCTGAATCTACGTGAATCCAATGTGGGATCGAAAACGTAGATTTCGTGCTTGGGAATAATCCACGAAAGCGATACCTGCGTTCAGTGCGGCCATTTCTCCGCAGAAGTCAACGCGGTTTCGTCTCTTATCGACTCTCGGATCCAGTGTCGGTACTGAATTTTTTCATTCCACTTATTTATATTGCATTTATTTTGTCTCAGCTTTTTGGAAATTGAAGCAAATGCGCAACCTCAAGTCCACAAAATTGACCAGCCGTTCGAAACGACAGATAACAATTAAATTTACGCACCACGAAGTCACTCCTATGTTGCATTGAAACATGTCGAAGCGATGTCGCACATTCACCAATATTGTAATAATTTGGCCTGATGATATTCGATGATATTATTGTGATACCTAAGTTATTATGAACGAATGATTATAGCTGAAGCGAACGCAATTTATCCAGGAAGAAAGCATTCTTCACGTATTGCTAATCTTTCTTGAACAAAAGTAATTCCACAATAATCAGTAATTTCGAAGCAAGGTCAAGACTTTCAGGCATTGGATTTTTAAAATTCTGAACATACAGCGGCTAAGAAAAATCACATCAACTTTCTATTTTTTTTATCCTTGAAATTGATTGATCACGTGAAAAATAAATTTCAGCTTCCTTAATGCTTCAGCCTATTTAGAAAGATGCCCAAATTTTAAACTTTCAATTATATCAGTGTGACTATCACGAAAATCGGAATCAAGAGGTGAGATAGTCTGTCTTAAAACTGGAATTTGATGGGTTGTGCTACAGTTGGGGATTTATTCGCAAGGCGGTAGAATGCAGTAGATTGAACCAGCCAGATGGACGCAACTAAATTCCCTCCAGGAGAAAAGCAGTGATGTATTCATAATTTTTTTAAAATTCGTAATATAAAAAAACCAAGCATTAAAATCACAAAAATTAAGAAGGCTTTTTATGAGCACCCGTCGCAGCCCTCTCGTAAATGGAAACGACGCTCAGTCCTTGCGATTAACCCCCCCCCCCCCCCCCCCTGCCAGCAATATTACAATCCCATCTACGGCATTGTCGAAAAGCAAGGAAGGACCAGCACTTGAGAAGCCAAGCTGGAACAAGTTTTCATGAGGCGGTATACATTTCGAATAGAACAGAGGATAAAGCTGTGAAGTCATATCGTGGAAGGCGTCCCGAGGACATCGCAAGACAAAAAGACCAGTCCCACAAGACGATACTTTCGAAAAGATCTCGCTTCAAAACCCACAGACGGAGGTGTCATTTGAAAGCCCAGAGTGTGACGGTGACAAAAAAAGGACTGCTCTTTGGAAAAATGAATGCCGGCTCCGACGAGGTACCAGTTAACGGTTTTTTTATACAGTATATATTTGTTCTCGCGGATCGCGGCAGAGTTCCAGGATGTGCATTGGACCGAACAGACTCAACGAAAGTCAAGAATAGAATGATTTTAATTTCATTTTCAGGCATCTCTCTTCGTTGCATCCGTTCTTCATGAGAAGACTGTCAGACATAAAAAATTCGGATTACATAATTTTTTCCAGTCGGAATGAACTTTCCTTTCAAACAGCTGCTTCATTCACACATGAAGTCGGATTTATTCCCGATGAGAGAGGAATTTCCGAGAAATGTCACAAAACTCGAAGATATTCCGTTGCATTAAAAAAAGTAAAAATATCCCTCCTCGAAGTATCAGACCAAAAAGCATCTAATGTAAGAACTATTTGTACACGGAATATTCACTGATCCGGTTCACAGAACGAATGAATGAATGAATAGAAAGCTTTATTTTCCGTTTTCCAGCGTTCACAAAGTTCAATCAACCTTCAGCACGTCTTTTTTGGTCGAGGTTCACAGAGTTCTTGTAACTGGAGAAAATGAATGAGCACAAGAACCATTTTCTAAAAGTTCGGTCAACTTTTTTCTTCCTCCCAGGATGACGTATTTATAGAATTTATTATATGTCACGGGGAACTTCATCACTAGACCGAGAGGAGAGAATCGATCCTCGCACGTAGTAAATTGACACATTTTTCCGGACATCATTCTGGTGGCATCAGTCTATGCTGGACAAGCTCTCGACAGTTGAGCTCTCAATCGAAAGTTTTATGTCTTTTTCATGAGGATGGAAAAGTTTTGCGTCCATTCAAGCTGGAAAAAGCTAAGCCCGATCCCACGTTTTGAAGTGGCAACGACGAAACTGGGTAATCTCCATCGCATTTGCAGTTTTGTATCCAATTTGCCTACACATCTATCCAAGCGCACAGAGTACAAGGATGCATAACAAAGTTCGAAAAGCTTAAAAACGAGAGAGATAGAGTAGAGTTTGCTCCGCATGCAAATATCTATAAAAAAAAAAAAACAAGCAAGCTCATTGCAAAAATGTTCGAGGCACTTCGTATTCAGCCCGTTATAATTCTTCGCTCTGAGATTCTTGTAGCGGAAACATGTCTTATTATTCATCCTGGTACCCGAAGAAGTTCGTATAGAGAACACCAAAAGGCTTCCAGGTGAGAAGTGCACCCGAATGTTCAGCGTAAATTTTAGAGGGGCATGCAATATTGAGTGCTATATTGAAATATTAAAATTGTATAAAGGCCTTGTGGAATAAGATAGCTCGAATGCTGAGACTATGAGTGAGAACGGTGCATACAGATTCCCGAGTAAATAAATCCAACTCAAAAGTTTGAACGATTATCACACTTCATAGATAAAATTTTCATTGATTACCGTAGCTGCTGCCTCCACATCAGCGATTTCGGTTGCCCATCGGGGAACCCAATACCAGTTGAATATTTTAAAGCGATTGAATGACCAACCTTCGAAAGGTTTCCCCGCGTGCGGACGTATAACTTTGGCCGAGGAACGTTTAGGTTTTGAAATTAGTTCAGGGTTCAATATGTTTGAAATATATCTGAGAGAATTTTCGAGCCTCGATTTTTTTTAAAGAAAAGCAGGGAAATCTGAAAATAATTATTCTAAGTAAGTTGCTTGAGAGAGGCCGTAGAGGTTGATTCCGTGATTGCATTTGACTCGAGTCAATTGCATAGTAAAATGCAATGTACATACGTTTTTTCACATGAAAATGATATAGACAAACTTTTGGGAAATTGAATTTGTTTCAAGTAATCGGTTTAGACAAATTCTGAGATGTCTTCACGTTTTCTCCGGGTTATGTATGTTCATTGTTTGTACAGTATTTGTTTGAACGAAAAATTATACGGTGTTTTGAAGAATATTGAACTTGACTCTAACCAGTAAGCAATGAGAATATAACCAGCTTATTATACCAAATATTAAACAAATTTTAATTAAGCATATACCATATTTTCTGCTAAACCAAGAACCGAATACGAAAAGGCAGCAATTTTTGAATTTGCGGACGTGTTATTAATAGAGAGGCCCGAAAAAAGAACACCAACAAATCGTATCAACAAAGCCAACATATGGCTCCGATAGAGGCCGCAGATTTATTCAGGGAGAAAAAAACAATACAAGCAGCAAGAACAGCGGAATGC